TCATACAAGTCATAGGAGACTCAAGACTGCTGTGAAAATTAAAATGCAACGATATGCTATAGAAGCAAAAAACAACACACAGTTCACATTTGTGCTGCAGTGATACCTACCATGAGAAATACTTGAATAACAACAAATATTACACAAAAAAATAGAAACCTGATGTCTAAAGCTTCCTCCATGTTCATATTCACATGCAGTATACTCACTCAAGTGCTGCTCTTAAATTTCTGATCTCATCTCTCAGCCTTTTGTTGTCCTTCTTCAGGTTGTTAATTTCTCCGGCTACAACAACAACAAAAGACAAATCAGGACATGTAGGACAAAAATGTTCCTTAAACTTTTTTTTAAATAGTATTTTGCATTTTAAATGGAAAGAAAACATGGAAGGGAAAACTTTGAATGTCAACAAAAGCAACAGTAGGGATGCAGATTTGTATGAAACATGAGGATCAACGTGTTACTGAATTAGAAAGTCAGTAAAAAACTGGATACCCAGGAGGGAGATGTGCTGGAGGCTCTGAATCTGCGTAGCTTCAAACTCCTGCTGCCGTCTCTTGGCCACGTCCTGCGTTACTGTACATCTGTCGCAGAGTCCCGCCCTCAGCCTGCAGAAAAAAAAAACACGTAACATCACGTAATAGACTGGCTCCAAAACACTCATCTAAGCAAAATGAAGTTAAAGGTACAGTTAGTCTTACAAAAGACAAGTCGAATTTGCACGTATGAAAGGACTGTTGGTGCTGCACCATAGCTTGGCCCGGTGTGATCCGTAGACTGTTCATTGTCCAAGCTACTGAAGTGGTTCTCATGGAGAGTTTCAGCAGAAGGCAGCTAATCTTGTTAGCTACCGGCGACTCTCATCTAAGATTCTTTTAGAGTTTTGCCTAACCGATGGGGAATGTCAGGTATTTATCGTCTCTCTCTCCAACCACGTGGCGCATAAAAGGCCGAAGACGCACATGCTTTAGGGTGTGTCATCATGAAACTACCAGGTGAAGGATGACATAAGATGCTAGTAGCGGTGAAATTGTCCGTAGGGGCATCATAATGGCATTGGAGAGCCCAACTCCTTCACTCCACTCTCAAACCGTCCATAGTGATCCTCTATTGAGTGTCTGTGAAGGTTCTCCAGGTCGTGGTTGTTCTGGTAGATGAATCGTAGCAACTGCTTGAGTTCCTTGAAGACGTTCCACCTCTCATCCAAGAGGCTCCATCAGCTCTGACTGACTCATATCCTTAAGGAGCCATTAACACCTGAGTTTCGGTTTCTACTGAGTGTCCCTGAACCTTTAGATGCAGGGGAACACTCAGGGAACGTTCCCACAACATTGGCTAACATTAACCTACAAGTTGTACACATGTTTTAGGGATTTCTAATGTTTCTGTGAGGTTGGAACATCAGATGTTTGTTCGTATATTTCAGGAACCGTTTACATTCTGTCATCTGAGGTCTTGCTAACATCTTGACAATGTTGTTTCTGATGTTGCAGTGACAACATCCTCTGTCGTCAACCAGCCTATAGAAGAACGTTCTTGTAACATTGTCTTACAGGTTCTGCAACGTCTTCCAGCAACATTCCCAAAACATCAGAGCCAGAATGTTTGTCACATAACCAGAACGCCTTTTAAAAACCATCTACAGCCTCGATATAACATCTGGAAAGCATTTTTTCAACGTTGCTTTGAGAACATTTGTCCGTTGTTATCGTGAAGCATAATCTGTGTTCCTGACAACGTTCTCTGAATGCTGACTGGGACGACTGGATTTAAATATTACGTACTTCATCTGACTTATGTTGGGTATCTACAGACATTCTGGGTTTGCTTCATGCTTTGTCCTTCTTTCTTTTTATGTTGTTGTTCTTGTAGTTAGTTTAGGTTTTATGTTCCTCCTCTTGTGCTCATTTGCTTTGATCAACCAGGATATATACATGTTCCCCTTTAGGTCATAGTTTGAGAGGTTAGTTAAGAGTTTAGTTGGATTAGTGCAGCGTCTGGCAGGGAGGGAGGCTTGCTGAAACCCTGCCAGCATCCTCAGGACTTTCTACAGAGGTGGAGAGCGTTCTGACATCCTGCATCTCCACATGGTCCTCCAGCTGCAGTGTGTCGGACAGAAAAGCCCTGCAGAGGGTAGTTAGAGGAGCTGAGAGGGGCATCGGAGTTTCCTTCACCTCTGTCCAAGAACTTCTCCAGAGCTGCTGCAGGAGCAGGACCCTAAAAATTATCATGGACTCTTCACAGCCTCTCCATCAACTATTTGAACTGCTGCCATCAGGAAAACGTTTCTGGAGCGTTAAAGGAAGAACCTCCAGACTGATCAGCAGCTGTCAGAATGCTGAACTGCTGATCCAGATATGCAAACACTTGTTTATTTAAATTGCTTTAAGTTATTGGATCCTGAAGTAATGCTCTCTCATCTTGCCTCTACTACTGTTGGATGTACAGCAACATGACGGTAAACTTGATTTGATTTTTGCTGAGTCATTTTTCTTTAGTCTTACCTCAGTTTGGTTAATTTGACCCATTTTTAAGGGCCCAGAACTCAGTGTCTGATTCATTTTCTTTAATCCAAATGCAACTCCTCCTGTTTTGTAGTTTAGTCGCTTACAAATCAAAAGCTAATGTTTGCAGAGGTTCCAAACTTTTTTCTTCTCTGTTTTGTTTTTGGTACCTGTTTTCCAGAGTCTTGATGTTCTCGGTGAGCAATCTCTGCTGTTCTTTCATCTGCTGGTTTCTGGTGAACAGTTCCTCCATTCGCTTTGTGTCACTGAAAGAACGAGACACAGACGAGTTCAGATACTCTTCACATATGTTCTGTTTCCTTGACGTTTTAAGGCTGCGTTTCCATGTGAGCTTACACTTTGCTTCTCCTATTCCCCCATACGTGGAGGCTATTCATGTATCTCATCATATGTGAGAGAATAATATAAGAATATATATTATTGTTGCTCTAAACATGTCTCGCAGAGTTTTATTTTAAAAGTTTTTCAAGTGCCAGAACATGAAAATCATCCCGCGTCATGTTAAGATTAGATCACTGTTGTTGGATTTAAAGCTATCGATGCATCAGGATGTAAACAGATTTTAAAACACGATAGTTTTCTGTCTGGCTCAGGAGTGAGATATGACAAATGAATCTGTCTCAATAAACAGCGATTGTATGCGTTCTTTAACTTCTAATGCTGCAAAGCTGCCACAAAGGAATGAAGGACAACAATGCCACGAGGCCTGTAGTTTAACATGCTCAGGATATCTCTTCTTTATCTGCCTCCACTGAACCGAGCAGCCACTGAACGGCTACGTGAAGCCGCTTGTCGACTCAGTAAATCAAACTCGGCTCTGACTGTTGGCACCACATGAACAGATCATATTTGTCATAAGAAGAAGAAACCCTGATGAGGAAGTTGAGTTTGTATTACAGATCGAAAGCAACAGAGCTGCTGCACCCAGAAGCATGAATGAAATGTGAGTTACTAATAATCAGAATCACTGCCTGTAAAAGGTGCAATCAGAGTTAATGTACACGTTGCTGGGATGCAGGTTTCCTGTTTAGCAAGTGTAGATGTAGTCTCTTTAAGCTTCTCAGAAAAACAACAAGTTATGTAAAGAATAAATAATCAAGTATATAAATAAACCAGCTGAATGGTGTAAGAATTTTTTTTAATTTTTATTTTAGCTACTTGGTGGTGTTAAAAGGTTTTGGGAGGTGATGCTGTTGTGTTTCATCGTGTGGAGGGCTTCAGTATGAGCAAGTTGGCATATTCAGACTTTAAGTCGGCCCGACGACAACTAAATATACTAAATATAAACTAAATATTAGAGATAACAAGTATCATGAAGGAACTTTCTGCTTCAAACTCTCCCATAAAAGGAGAGGTTTAACAAGTCACAGGACTCTTCTCCTGCACGAAATGGACCAATCACGCGGTGCTTTCTTTAGTCGACAGGTTGTTTTAATGAAGAACAACGAAGAATATATATTTAAAAAATATGATGTTAGAAAGCGCTGCTGCTGCAAATGATGCAAGACAAGAATGCTGGTAGAAAACGAGTAAAAAAGAAAAATTAAAATCAGTGCAGCTGCTTATTTTTAACTGACAGCTGCACATTAGAGCCATATTTTTATTTTTATTTGCATATTTCTATTTTTTTTCCTATTTTGTCCATTTTTCTATTTTCATATTTCTATTTTTATTTTCATATTTCTGTTTTTATTTTCATATTTCTATTTTATTTGCATATTTTTATTTTTTCCCTATCTTTTCAGTTTTTCTGTTTTCATATTTCTATTTCTATTTTTCATATTTTTATTTTCATAATTCTATTTTTATTTCTATATTTTTTCTCATTTTTCTATTTTCATATTTCTATTTTTATTTTCATTTCTTTTTTTTATTCTATTTTTTATTTTTTATTTTATTTTATTTTATCTTTTTTGCACTGCATTCTTCGTACTACCACTTTAGCTCTGGATCTGGGAAACACCGTCTCATTTCACTGTGTACTGTACAGCTGTGTGTGGCTGAAATGACAATAAAGCCCTGTGAACTTTGAACTGAACTTTAAACTTCATACATTTAAACATGATGTTGTATCGAAGCTGTAAACAGACCAAACATAAAAACATATTGAATGAATAAATGTAGGTTTCCATGGTAACACGATGCTGTAACTACGCAGCTTCATTCGGTGATTTTAGCAACGCACAGCTCAGCAGGATTACAGACCAAACACATCCCCTCAGCTGAGAATCTGAACTGTTCATTAATAATCACCAGGTAACGATTTGGTTAAAGGGAGACGCGTCTTTCAGCCGATTTAAATCTGAAACTCTGATCATCACCAAACAGCATCAGCTACCGTCCAGAGATCTTCACCAGAGATCGAGCAGGTTAGGAGCCTTTGTCATATGAAAACTCTGACTCTAGACTCGTCGTTCCTGCTCCTCCACTGAGCTCACTTTGTAGTTCAGCCCTCTGATAAGCAGGTTAGACGTTCAGGTTACCGCGGCGATGCACCTGATAAGAGGTGAACCACCGCCTCAAAACTTAAACCTGAAGTTGCCTGAACAACCTGAACTCCTATGTTGGAGCACAGAGCGCTGGTCGTAGCAGCACCAGGTGGCTCAGTGCTTTGCAGGTTCTAACAGATACAGTCTGGTCCTGCTGCAGGATTTAACGGGTTCATAAGATAACGCTGTTGAGCCACACTGAGCTGTGATGATGATGATGATGATGATGAGGGGATTTCACTTGACGTGGCTCCTTCTGCATTAACCTGCAGTGTTAAGGCTGTAAAACGATCCCTTCTCCTTCACACTTGTTCAGTTCTGAGGAAGAATGAAAGTTTGGTGACTCAGCAGCAGACGGGGAGACTTGTTCCGACACGAGCGTCGCTCAGAGCTGAACTTGAGCGTGCTGCAGGTGCAGGATCAGAGTCCCGCAAATCCTCAAGTCCTGCTCCGGCTGAACTCTTATCTCGTTAGACTTGAACGTCTTGTCTAAATGCGACTGTCCGGAGACGCCAGGAATGTCAGGAACTCACTCACCAGCCCTTCTTGTTCGACAGCTCCTGGACCTTCCCCTGCCAGCCTGGTGATTCAAAAACACAAAAAAGACAACTGCTCAGGAGGCGTTGAGGTGAAACGATTCTTCTGTTCTGTGCATGGTTTCCACTCACCCTCCACTTCTCGCTCGTGAACCTCCCTCAGCTTCAGCAGAAGGTCGTTGAAACACTCCATCGCCGCTGCAGTCACCGTCCAGCCTCAGTTTGACTTCAACACAAAAGAGAAATAACGTTTTGTCATGTTGTTCACAGATTTAAAGAAATTGCGTTTATTGCCTTTAATTCTGAGGTGAACACTGGATTGGACACACCCTGAGTAAGAGAAACTTGTGGCGCTCACAGTGGAAACCAGTGAATCAGTCAGAGCCGAGGCACACGGGCGTTATAGCCTCGAGGCTGCAGCAGCGTCTGAGGCGCTACGGCGCAGTTTGCTGCTCCTCACATGTAGCAGCAAATTTTTTGTTGTTATATCGAGGATGATTAGAACAGGTCGGACCGGTCGAGCAGGTCTGCAGTTGGTGCTTTATGAAAAACAGCTTGGATCGCTGGAGATCTGCAGCACTTTCAGAGACTGTGTAGAGTTCTAAGAGGGAAACAGAACACTGTGAGAACGTTTCGTCAATGAACGTCAGCGTTTACAGCCTGGACCTGGTGGATTTAAATTAAACCCATGAAAGGACGGATGAAGGTTTTACTACATCTCCCTGCTTGTTGTTTTTAAGAAATCCATCCATTATCTCTACACCTTAATCCTCACCAGGGCCATGGGGGGCTGGAGTCTTTTTAATGGGTTCTGTTCGTTTTTCCTAAAAACCTGTCGGATAGCAAAGTTTAGGATTGTCAAGGGTCAGATTATCGAGTCATGACTGTAGTTGCTGGTTTTGTTGGTCCTGATGCTGCAAATTCACATTTCTGAGTTTATGATCAAACTCATCCAATGAGAGTTAAAACAAAATAAATCATTGTCTCTACTTGGGGCTGCACGGTGGCTCAGTGGTTAGCACCGTCGCCTCACAGCTAGAAGATTCCCAGTTCGCGTCCTGATGAGGACACCCGGGATCTTTCTGTGTGGAGTCTCGATGTTCTCCCCGTGCAGCGTGGGTTCTCTCCAGGTTCTCCAGCTTCCTCCCACAGTCCAGAAACATGCTGAGGTTAATTGGTGATTCTAAATTGTCCGTAGGTGTGAATGTGAGTGTGCTTGGTTGTCTGTCTCTAAGTGTAGCCCTGTGATAGACTGGTTACCTGTCCAGGTGAACCTGCCTTCACCCTGAGTCAGCTGGGATAGACTCCAGCCCCCCATGACCCTGGTGAGGATTAAGGTGTAGAGATGATGGATGGATGGATTTGTCCTGTGCTTTTTAATTTTGTAAAACCTTTTTTAAATTTAGTATCTGGACAGTTCTTTCCTTTTTCCTCCTAAATGTTTTTTTTTTGTTGCCTTTATTGGATAGGACAGTCGAAGGGAGACAGGAAAGTGGGGGAGGAGAAAGGGGGAATGGGTTGCAGCAAAGGGCCATGAGTGGGATTCGAACCCATGGCTGCTGCATCGGAGACTATAGCCCCTGTACATGGGTCGCCAGCTCAACCAGGTGAGTTAAAGCGGAGCCGTTTCCTCTTAAATTTGATTTCACTTTTTTGTTGTTGTTGTTTTAACTGATTTACTGTTGCCTCTTTTTTGATGAATTTCATGGTTTGTGCAGTTTTAGATCTTTTTTTTTCAAATCAAACACACCTTGTGAAACTGAATACAGCAACATGATCCACGCTGAGAAGGAAATCTGATATCACAGGCGTCCTTATTGAAACAAATGCCTACACTTCATCCAAATCATTTGTCATCTAACCTGGTGGGCAACAGTTCAAGTTCTAAATTCAAATAGTTGTCCATCAGGTCTTCTCAGGCAGGAAAGGTTTCTTGTGATGATATCACAAAAAGATCAGCATGAATGTAGACTGTAGCTGTGATCCATGAAATAAGCCGTCACTCATCCCACAGTGGGGACATTTACTGTGTTACAGCAGTGAAGGGGGACAGCGCAGACAAACAAATACACATATTCAGATTGTACAACTTCCTCTGAATGTGGAGAGAACTTTACTTCACACATATAAATATTAAACTCAACGAGGACGAAGGAGGCGACACAAAATATAATACGTAGGGTAGAAGTACATGTAGGGAGTCTAACAGTGGATCTCCTTTTATAAGTCACTACGCTGATATAAAACACCAGCAGATTAGCGTCTCCATTTCCTCACATGGACGTACGACAACGTGCAACAACCCTCATCAGCTGAAACTCGTGTTTTTCTTGTTTATCGGTTGCAAACTGCCCTCAACACGTATTTACCTGGATGCTGGCTGTGCAAACGTTTTGCTGTTTGCTGAAGGAGCGTGACGAGAAACTCTCCCAGACGTGGATCGAGATCATAAAGGCTGCTTTTGAGTTTGAGCAACTTGTCAAACGCACGGATAAATATTACTGAAATGCTGTTTACCCATTTTATTCTGCAAATAAAAGGATTTTTTTTGGAGGGAATAGAGCAAAAAATCCTGAGTGATCCATTCAATCTATGTGGAGTAATTCATCTTACTATGTGGTTAGGATTTAATCTGAATGAGCTGGTTGTTTATCCTCCGTTGTAGGAAGTAATTAGAGAGTAAATCTGGCGTATTTCCCAATAACATACCAACTATTGACCTTGATTTTTGTGTCACGCCTGTCAGATCTGAACGTTTTTAGAGTATTTCTCTCATATGAGGAGATTTTTTTTGTTTGTTTTACGTCACATTTAATGCAAAATCAACTATTTAAAATAACAACTAAGAAGATAGATTCTTTCATTCAAATCCTATAAATAAACCACTGACTTGTGTTTCCTGCAGGAACAAACTCTTCTGACTCAAACCTGAAATAGAAGATTTAAACCTTCATGTTGTTATGCTGTTTATAGTGTCGCCGCCCTTTTTACTTGATTGTACTGACGGATCGTTTTCTCACTTTTAATTGTTCACGATCAAATACGTTTCCTGAGCTTTTCACGCTAAGTGTTAGTGTTGTTAGTAGACGGGAAGATGCTGCACCTTTTAGGTTTTTTTCACCCGGAGTGCAGCGAGATGAGAAACGATGGAGGGATGACGAAGTGCTAACGAGGTTAAAGCTGTTTTTATTCAAACCCTGTACGATCCTTGTTTTCTGCATATCCTGTGACTCTTGAGGCTGCAGATTAGCTCCTACCAGGTGCAGCAACACTCAGAGAACATCTTTAGCAAAGCTATTTCATAAATCACAACATCTAAATGACCCACGTGCCCGTTTCTTAAATGCATCCATCACCAGGACAGTTTGTTAGTTCAGCCCA